TATATATATATAATTAATTAATGTTTAATTGAAGAAATAGCAATAAAAATTTATTAACAGCAAAGTAAATTCATTGTGTCGACAGATTAAATATGATATAATTGTAATATATATTAAACATCTGTGACGCGTTACTTACTAAAATATATTAAATTAATTTTATGTATTTTCGATATATATCCTTTATATATGCTATACCAAATATAAGAAATTAACAATCACATTAGAAAGATGTCAATTTAATACACACATATATGTCAGTAGTAAAAGCCTGTCTTTAAAGAAACATACGTAACACTTTTCTGCTTCGCGAGATTTTAATATTGTATTCAATATTTATTACTAAATAAATTAATAATTAATTTGCATGAAAAGAAATTTAAATAGAATTGAAAGAAAGCGTGAAAAAAGCTCGGTTAAACTAAGCAGTAGTTAAATTGAGTACTATTGATGCAATCGGCTTGTAATAAAACTAATGGCAATGAGACAAACTTCCAAAGTTTGTCTCATTGATATATCAATATATTGTAATAGAATATATATACATATATAATATTATATACACAATATTACGCTCGTAGAACGTAATACATAATACATAAAATTAGAAAGAAATGAATTGTGACTAGAACCAGATCGGAAAATTATTTTATAATTAATTTAAAAATAAATGTGAGCACACAAAGAAACAAGTCGATTTTATTCAGCATAAATTAATTTTCCACACAATCTTGCGTAACGCTATAATTCTCTAAAGTATAAAAATCAACAATTTCGCAAATATCGTCGATATAATATTGTCGATTTAATTATCGCGATTGAATGTCACAATTTAACACATCGTGTTCTTTTATTCAAGCGGCATGCGTTATTTAAATATTTACATCACGCATTCTCACTCACGTTTACTGATTATTTTAATGACGATGATGCGTCTCTTCAATGGTACATGTTCCGCTAATCTTCGGCGTCTACAAAGGGTATCGTCGTGATATTGGTATTATCGAAAGCGTGACGAGGCGTGACGTCCCGGTTGGGCAAGCACCCAACAAAGAGGGAACTCGAGAGGGTGTCGGTCGCGTGATTAGTGAAAGGGGTCCCTGTGACGTGCAAAGCCGTGCCCCCGCTTGATGTCCTGAGAGTGGGTCTGGACTTGGGCAGGGACCTGCTATAAAAGCATACCGCGTCGACCCTCGAACACATAGTGCTTGCTCGCATAACCCGCAAGAAAAACCATCGCCCGTCACCATGAAATTCTTCGTAAGTTCTCCCTTCGCACGTGACGGCTTCGCCCATCGATTTAACGCTTTTTTTTGCATGCAAAATTATAGACATTTATAGAGAGACGTTGAAACTGTATCTTTTATTATCTGAATAATTTACTTTTTTTCGACGTATTTTCAATTTGAAATTTTTGTGATATTTCTGATATTATCTATTACATTTTATTGTATCTTTCTTTGTATATCCTTTTCATTCATTTCTTTAAATAAGCAGTCTTAAGGATTCTTAAAATAACAATTTGAAACAGGATCAATAAGAAATAATGAATGATTTATTTTCTTACGTGCTATATTATTTATTAATTTTTTTATTACACTTGTGGATGTTATTATACATTGTGGATCTTTATTTGTTGAAGCTAGTACTAAAATTCTGAATTGCATTAATTTATGTTTTTTTTATTGCAGGTTGTTCTGTTTGCCATTGTGGCAGTCGCTAGCGCTGGATTAACATCTGTGAGTATTTCAAAATGACCATTTTCAAAAACTCGATCTTGATAATTATTTCGCAATCCTATCATATGTGTAAACTTAATGATATCTCTTTTTTATCGAATTTCAAGCAAACACGTAAAGTTTTTCTTGTTAAAGAACGTTTTACATAATAGTATGTCGCAAAATAATAAATTCAAACCAATAAATTTATGTTTGCTAGAAATATAATTATATAGCAATCAATTATATAGCTAACCAAAAAATGTAGCAAGAATACTTCGAGATTATTAGGCAAAAAATAATAGTTGTGGTCTTGATATTCAATTTAATTCAATTGCTTTATTTTCTACTTAATTGAGTTATAGGCCTTGCGTTATGAAATCCCGTCGCAATTGCATAAAATTGATCACGGCCGTTTGTGCAACTTCCGCCTCAAGATTTCTATTGCAGTTCTATTGCTCAAGCATTTCAAACTCCCTCGCGTTCACTTCGTAGTTTCGCGATCGAGGAAAATTTTTCAGAGAAACTATCTCATTTTATCGAGATTGCGTTGTGTAAACTTTCTAGTCACTCGTAGAATTTGAGTTTCTTCACGTAATTTTATATATGAAATATTTTATTATTAAAATATCTCGTCCTTTTTTGCTTCTTTCAGTATCACGCGCCAGAGGTAGTCCATGTCTCCGGCCAGCTCTCCATCCCGGGCCCCAAGGCTTCCCCGCTCATTCTCCACGGTAACGACCATTCCACCCGCATCCACTACAGTGCCCCGCATATAGGGCATCCACACTTGGTGGGCATCGAACATTACAACCCGGCGCCGCATTACGAGCCTAGCGTCGTCAACGTGGCTCTTAAACACGACCTGCATTAGATCTCCGCATCTAAGTCAGCAGACCCGCTGGTCCGGAGTGGTCCACGCCGAACGAGTCATCCTGAGGCTGATATGAGGCAGAGAATCAGCGAATTCACCATTTAATTGGTGAATGAACGTGACATTGAGCAATCTTTTGCCAAAGTGGAGCATTTCTTGTTCCTTTTTATCGGCAAGATACTGATTCTTCGCGTCGAGAGATCTCTCGCCGAGGATTGAGAATCACGTGGAGGAACACACAAATCGGCAGATTGATAAAATTCAAACTGCCTCAGGATAGTCGCACGTTTTGGATCACTTTTGGAGGACCGTCCCCAAAAAGACCAGGCAGTCAGATTTGAAAAAGCTCCCCGCCCTCTCCCCTCTCATTCATCCCTTTGCTCTACCTTGACGCTACATATGACACGCATATGAACAATCGGACTCTTCCGTATTTCCATTTATCCATCTCATTCTGTCAAAAATGATGAAAAATTCTGTGCGGCATATATTGAAGAAGAAACAGCAGAGCGATCATCTCTTTCTGTACCCATTAACATTCGTTTACGGCAGCGCAACACTTTTATTTATTTTATAATAAAAGTTGATTTTTATGTCTTGTAATAAAATGAGACGTCCATTTTATTTTGTTTTTGCCCGCTTCGATACCCCGTTTTTAATTATCGTAGATGATAATACGAAATTTTTTTATTTGATTAAATATAATTAGATTAGATAAGGAAAAAAGATAATTAAAAAAATATAAATTGCAGTAAAATAGAATCTGAGAACTAAAATAGAATTGAAGATAATATTATATTAAATTAAGTGAAACAAAAAACAAATTCGCGCACAATTCATTTGCGGAAATGTGCGGAATTCATTGGAAACCGCAAATGGCGCAATGCGTATCAAGTCAATTATGTAAAACGGTATCGATAGTAAGCTGTTCTGGCATGCTGGCTGAACAAGGCCTCAATAATGACCGATCAATGTCAATTTTAGCTTCATTAATTTTCCTACTCTCGACTATATTTGAACTTCCGACCGCATAAATTCGATCACGTAAATTGATATCGGCGCTGAATTAAATAAAGGTGGTTAGCGTTTAGTTTACTCAATGAATGCCTTTATCATAATTTATACACTTAAATACGACCTCGGGATAAAGATCTTTTCAACAAAAGATGCAATTTTCGTTAACAGACACAAGACTTACAGCTTCATCGCATCATCCATTCCGATCGAGTTGTATATTTGTCGAGCTGCTCGTGTCTATTTAATGCGAAAAGCTCTTCTTGCGGAGACTCTATGCAAAACTCTCGACACGAAATCAATCTAACGTCGCCGAGCAACGGATAATCCAAACAAAGCTACCCTAAAGCCAGTTGCCATCTCTCCATCGCGGTGTCGTTCGATGGACGCGATGCCAATCGCGTCTGTTTATTTTTATCATACATAAACATATAATTAATCGGGTCGAATTAGAATCGTCGCGATCGTGTCTCATTGTTGTTCTGAATTTCGGAAAGTCAAGAAAAAGACGTCTATTCGCAAGAATCCGTGAAAATACGTTAACAGTTTGAATGTGACAACTGATCGCTTATGCCTTTCATCAAGATAGCTCGACAAGGTCTCTGCGCATCCCTTGATTTTTGGCTCTTAGACTTTTTCTTCTAAAACACTTATGTATTTTAAACGTTGGCGATTTCTCAAAGTTTCTTCAGACATAGTTTTCAATTTTATTGCACAGATCTTAATGGATTCTTTTTTACAATAGTTTTGCCTTATAAGAACATCATTAAAAATTCTTTTTTTATTCTAATTAGCGTTTATTTTGTGATGCACATCAGTAATGAAAAATTAAATTTATTAAGATTAAAATATTCATCAGTAAAATTTTTCATTATTAAGATTAAAATATTTATCTTAATATATAATGTTCTGATATTGTGTTGTATAATATAGTTTCTTCCTTGCGATTTCTACATATATTCTAATTATTCATCCTTTCTAAATTGTTAATACAACACGAATCTTTTTTTGTATTATAATATTAATTTATCTTTTTAATTATTAAAAATACCATTCTCCTCTAAATATATTAACCATAAATAGTACCAAAGCTTTGCAAAAAAAAAAAAAATCAGGCGATTAAACTTACCGGCACAAATTTAGTCAATTTATTAATCTCGTTAGGTTTTTAGACTCGCTTGTGCGGTTGCACAGTGCGATTTCAGCATTAGATATCAGCATTAGATATTTACGAGTGTCTTTATAGTTCGGGAAATACTCTGAACGCTATTTGCTTCGAGCACTTCTATTTGAATGTGCACAACGAGAAAGGAAGAATTATATATACTTGAGTGATATTGTTTCACAAAAAATGGAACACGATTGAGGGTTAGCTTTTTTCGATGATGCGACAATCAGAAGCGTTATACTGTATCTTTTTAGATGTTCGCGAATATTACGTAATTATTTCAGTAGTTGTAATCACGTTAGCGTGCGTAATCCGTTACGTTTCTGTGAATTCTTGCGAAGATTCTCTCGCACGCTCGTAAAGGAAAGCAAGGAGGGAAAGCTTGTAAGGAAATGCAGCTGTGTTTTTTTATGCGAAGCATTCATCGAGCATTCGGAGATATTCAATATTTTAAAGCAAATTGAGGAAAATATTAAATAAAATTGTTTTTAATTAGAATTTTTTAATTAAAAAATATCGAAATTAAGAGATATTAAAATTAAAAGCTAATGCAATTAAATAAAAAAATTAAATATTTATACAACTTCTCTTTCTCTCACTCTCTTTTTCTCTTGTGACCTATATCTAATAATTCTTATTAAGAACATTTTATATATATACACATACACACACATACACACAGCTGCTGCGTCAATTAATGATAGATCTCCAAGATACCTAATTTATGAAGATTAGAATATATTAGAATAAAATTAAATATTTTAAAATTTTATTAATTTTCTTTTATTATTAATTTTTTCTTTTAATTCAGAATTTAGCATGTAAATTAGAATTTTACCATTTCGTTCTCTTTAACGTAACCTAATTTAAATATTGTAAGAGGAGAAATTAAAATAGACATGATGATATCTATTAAAAATTCTTTCATTTCACTTACTAACACATTATGAGCAAGCATTTGCATCAAAGTGAACGTTACCGTGGCGTCAACGTTTCCCACCCACATAATTACGTTGCACGTAACTTAGGAATTTTCAATTTTTTTGTAGAGACCCGAGAATGCAAAATGTCGACCATGTTATTTAAAATAGTGTATGAAAGGAGCAGTTTTTCTTATAAAATGATCACCGCGAGCTTAAATGGACAAGTATGCAATTATGATTGCCGTAGTAGTCAGGTGCGTGGCGCGAATTATTGCCATGCAACAAACTTTTTCTGCGTTATGGATAACGCAAAAAGAGAATTGTTGTGATTCAAAAATGCAATCACGCGAAGTAATAGGTATGTATCGTGATCGAAGTCACCTGTATTTTACGTAATACGCTTTTTATTATTTACTTTATTAAACCTGTTTTACACTATCTCTATTTGCTTCCCTTTTTCTTATTAAATCTCTATTAAAAACTTGATCCACATCTGTGTGTAGTATATGTTCAAATTTTATCTATTCTAAAAAATTTTTGTTTATTTATATTACTTAAACTTTATTTCTTCTTTTATTACATTTTTAATAGATCTATTTTTATTGTAATCTATTTTAATTTTATCAGTGATTTTCTTTTGTTACATTGCGAGTTTCCTTTTTTCTCTCAACATTGATAAAGTAAACTCTAGAATACCGTATGCCATTCATATTATTAAATAATGTAATCTAATCTTTTTATATTATCTTAATCTCGGCTAATTATTAACGTTTTACACTTTCGGACCAGTTGGTAGTTAATGCGGCATATCGTCATTTTGAGCAAGCGGCTGTTAATGATCACCGACCAACCTAGTATAATGTAATAATCGCTCGAGTGTAGACTTCGCCACTGAGTAAGCATGACACACTAATGCCTTAATAATTTATTATATATGCGCGGGCGTTTAATTAGTTTCCCGGTCGCATAGCCTGCCAGTAGCACATATCTTGCGCTAATAAATCTCGATTACTATCCCAGGATGCATGTATCCTTCGAAGAAACTAATAATGCTCGAGTTTCAAGCGCGGTTAAATGTATGTAAATTTACATGATAAACTAAGACACATATAGATATTTTATCTTGATAGATTTTGCTATGATACAGGTATATTATGACTTTGTGAGAAGTAAAGTACCATAATGTAAATGTATCTAGCACAATACATTTTATGGATTTTTCCCCTATTTTCAGTGAATTTTCTTATCATTATTACCTTATGATATTGATCTTAAAAATATTTTTCTCTAGGAATCTATTTAATTTAGTTTCTGATTTTCTAAATTTGCATTAGTTTTTATATTCCTTTCTCTTTATTTTTTAATCATCAAATCTTGCCCGCATTTTTATATTACTATTTTCTCTAAAGAATAGAAAATCTGACATTTTTATAATGTTACATCGGTTTTCCTAGACGTGCTTCCGATCGTGAGGTGATTATCGATTGCGATGTCGTATCCATGTCACGTTGTCTCGAAATCATAACAATACCGACGAGCAGCGATTCCATTCGAAATAAATTTCTCTTTTAGGAAAATAGAGAACTCGATTGCTTTGGCATGGCAATTGGAGCCATTTCCCGAATAATGCGAGCACATTTATGCGAATACACACGATCTCACGCTATTCGTTCGATGGAGCGATTGCATGAATAATGAATGTGACGGTGCATTACGTAGTTCGCGTTGTTGCATACTTTCTCTCCTCGTAATAAGTGTTTTTCTGTGATAGACAGTGTTTTCTTGGACACCGCCCGCTGCACGTGCGCTGTCAAGCAATCTTGACACTGCCAATTTAACATTCAATATATATTAATTACATATATATTGAAAAAACAGCTCTTTAATAATAATCAATTATTATGATTTTAATGATCGATTTTTAAATCAATTTTTAAGCAGTTTTTAAGTACAACTAGATTCTCTTATATGCGCTTAGACTATTTATTATTTTATAAATGCAAAAATATAATGATCACATTTTTATTATAATAAAATAATAAAAAAAATATATTAACGTATATAGTCAATATTATATAAAATATTTTTTCGATAATATCACTTTAAACAAATAAAGAAGCTATTCTTTCTGACTTATCTTTTTATTTAATATACTATAACTGAATTTTTGCTATAAATTAGTTCTTCTCAAAAATGAGTAAAAATGAAAAATATGATGAGGTTTAAGTCCAATATAAGTCGCTTTTGCAAGTAGAAGTTGGATAGAAGTGAAATTATATATAATTACGTTTACTTATATACTTTGTAACTACCTCAAGAAAGTATTTCTACACAAACAGGGTTTCCTAATAACGTGACTATAGTTCATAGGTGAGGCTCGTGCCTTCCGATCTAACTGTATTCGTGCTCTATATCGTAATCATAATTGTTAATCGTTTTGTTCGTTTTAATTCATTTGCCACGATAAAATCAATCGCATGCTGGGAAACCTGGATTTTACTTTGCGTAAATTAGAAGCGTAATGAAAAAGTTTCGAAATTATTTTAAGTTTGTTTTTGTCTGCGAAAATTCAGTGTCATCGCGAAAATCGTTTGTTTTATACCACAATCGTACAAATAATATGTGATTTAAAAAAGAATTAAAAAGTTTAAAAGCATATACTACTTACAGAAATATATATAAAAATGTTTTGTAATATAATTGTTTTATATAATTTAATTTTTAAATGCAATTTGCCATTTTTTAAATATAAAATGAATATATAATTCTTTGATTAATAATTAAAAAATATAAATGCACATATGCAGGTGTACATAAATTTGTAAATGAGAATTAACTTCTTATGACACATAATTTTTTAGTTCTTTTATATTATATGAAATTAAATATAGCTGTTTTTCAAACTAGGATACAACACATCCGTTTCGATAATTTGCATTAAAACAAGAATTCTTCTTTAACATTTTTTTTATTCTTTCCTTTTCAGTAGAAATTTGCAATTATTACTCGGTACATGCGTGTACCATCATATCGAAAGAGTACGATGGTATCGTACAAAAAACTGGAGATCTATCATCAATGGTCGAAAGACATCGGGTGTCGTTCATTTCTCGCAGGCGCGTTATGCGTGGGTGTTATCGCGGATGGACAAATAGGAAAATTGATGTTCGAGTCGCCGTTATTTCTGTTGGTTCGACAAAGAAGCACGAGCACCACTGGGAAAATGTGAACGTATGGACAGTCGACGTTGTCCATACGTTCGGTATTCAGTGTCGTCAGTTCGATCCGCTCAGTGGGCCATTCAGCATGAACAACGAGCGCAGTGAGTTATATTTTTACATCAGTTTATCTTTACTTAGCTTTTCTTTTCCGGTACATCAAATATATATATATATATATAATCTGCTAAAATTTTCGTATCTCTTTATGTTTTACCAAAGTTAAGATTGAGAAAAATTTATGTTTTTTTTTACGTTGCGTTAATTTTTTTTCTTTTTTATTATAATTATTAAGAAAATAATAGGGAATTTGATAAGAATTATAACAATAATAATAATAATAATAATAACAATTCATCTTTTAATTAAATTAATTACTGTATTTGATAAAATTCCGTTTTTGTTCTTACTATTGGTAATAAAAACATTATTTATATATTTATTAAAGATATTTGGATTAAGATTAGGCGTGTATCGGAGAAAGATATATATATATATATAAAGAAGAACCTCGGTTTCGTTTATTTGAAGTATTTTAAGTAAATCGAAAATGTGTGTAGCGAAGAGTATAAAGTCTTTGAGATATCGATATTGAAAAAAAACCCAAGTTTTTATATTTTTAATATGTAACATCTATATTTAATTATCTTCCTCCCCCATCTTTTAAATGTCTATTACATACATAGATGATCTTATTTTGATAACGCAATAACAAAAGCAGGGTATATAAAGATAGATACATTATTGCATGTAGATGTAATGCTCAATAGTTTTATTATATTACTTATATTCTTTTGAAAAGAAATAGCAATATGTGAATATTTCTATTACGCAATATCTCTTATCATTTTGGGAAATTAGAATAAAGATATATAACTATATTAATTTAGATGTGCAAATTTAATAATTGCTCGAGATGATAAATACAATAATAAATTTAATAATTTTTTGATATCATTTTATTTGACAGTTTACTGCATTAATTAGCTGCTATTACGATTTTCGAATTTTTATTTTCACCAGAGGATGAAGGATCCGTTTACTCGGTCGGAAACCAAAATCACTTGGTATCGATAAGATCCAAGCAAACGTAGTAAGTAAAAGATTGACAATTTTCTAGCTAATGCCGGTTTATTAAATCGTTTTATTAAATCGAGAATGTGCATTTGCTCGCCGCAAAGAGATCAATACGAGTTTTCGCCAGTCAGATTTGTCGTATTTGCAGCTTCAAGAAACGATCTCAAGTCTCCAACCTGTTGGTGATAATTCTGTGTCTCCTGGTGTGTGTCTTGTTTATAACAGTCCTGGTACTCGCAATACTTTGTAAGTTTTTATTTTCTTAAATGTCGGGGTAATGTAATGCAGCTTTGAAAATTATGCATATAAGTAAAAATTAAAAATTTGAAAAAAATAAAACTTATAAATCAAAATAAAGTTAAAATAAATTGTACATAATTTTTTACTAAATTATTTATTATATATATTATCACATAATATAAATTGATAAAAGCAGTACGATATTTCTTTACGATATTTTGAAATTATCAAATCTAAAATTAAATGTCATTTTATACTCACAATCAATGTTATACATAATGAAACTTTAAGCAAAATCCTTGTGACTTAACTCTATGAAAATTATAGTAGGTATAACTTGATAATAGATACGACAATATACCGGAATATACTTTTCATTGGAGAAAAGTGACTCAACTTTCTTGCTTTGATGCTTTGATATATCTTTTTTAATCACTGGCAATTACATTAGACATCCTTGACGAATTATTGGAGAATCGTTTAGTGTATGTTTGATTGTCATTGACATTACGTAAATATTTCAGCGAGAGAATAGCTATAAATAGTGTAGCAACTAATATCATGTTATTTTATGGAATAACTGCTTACCACGTGCTTATCATTATTACTTGTGACAATCTATAACGCGTTTCACGTGGGGGTATCGCGTCTATAATTAATTACTATGACATGTTTGTACTTTTTCTAGAATTATTAGGTATCTTTCTAACTATAATTTTCTCGAACAATCTCGGGATTAATTTCTCCTCAACAAAAATATTGCATTTTCGAATATTAAGAAAATCAAAAATAACTGATACAATTATATTTTTTAATCCTTTTTATATAAATTTTATTTAATATAATGTTAACTTTTTTGTAAGTTTCAAATTAAATAAGATACATAAGAAATGTATAAAAATACAAAAATTGTAAAAAATAAGACTATATAAAATAAAAATATAATATATAAAAGTTATGAAATTTCTACACAATGTGTGTGTCTGTATATGTGCATGCGTATTAAAGAGAGATTGAAAATACGCGATAAATTGATATTTTCTTTAAAAAAATTAGCCTAAGGAAAGCTGTGGTGTGTGTTAAAAAAACATTCAGTATTATTGGAACATTCTATATATCGATTATTCTTATTGCAGATGCGCATAGCGGCATGATGAAGATATGTGATAGCGAGGATTGCGTGCGAATAGGTGAGTCACAATATATAATTATTACTATCAACAAGAAAAATTATTTATGCTGTTATCTATTAGAAAAAAAAAGACGTTGCGCGAAACGGTAAAGAGAGAATTTTAGCAATCATGTTTCCGGAAACAATTATTTATTTCTCTTTGTTCATTTAGCGGCTAGTTTGAAGAAATCTATGAACACCTCTGTAGATCCTTGCGATGATTTTTATCAGTGAGTAGATTATTGTTGTGCCGTGCATTAGTTATACGATGCACTTGTGTGTGCGAAATTTTTAAGAATCATTCTTTATGTTACGCAAAATATCGCACTCTCGCGTTTCACTTTCACTCGCTTGTATGAAGCACTGCGTGTTAATTAAAGCGATTTCGCTCAAATAGCGTAATAATTAATAACAATATTTTTGTTATTTTTGATTTATTTGTTAAATGTTTTTCTCCTTGACAATTATTAAATTATTACACATTTAACGTTTTTGTGCGAAACGCGAACTTCTTTTCTTTAGATATGCGTGCGGCAGATGGCCGCAGGAGCATCCCATTCCGGATTCCAGCCTGACGAATTCCTGGTTCAGTGAGCGTAGCGATCGCATGTTCAAAAAGATCAAGGATCTGCTAAAAGTCGACATGTCCACCGATGAGGTGCCGTGGGCGGTAATGCAAGCCAAGACACTGTTTACCAGCTGCATGGACATGCGTACGTTGCCGTTTTTGTCTAATTAGATAGATGTCAATCAAAATTATGATGTAAAAAATAAATGCTACAATAAGAAAGAAAAATCCAATTAAGATATATAAAACAAAATATATATGAATAAATATATATTTAAATTTTTTTATTAACATTTTATATACATATGTTTTTTATAAAAATATAAATTTGTTAGGTACGATAAATGAGCTCGATTTGTTTCCATTGTTCGATCTGTTGGAGTTACTGAATTTACCTTTAATACCCGCGGCTTTCACTAATGAAACGACTAATTATGTCGAGCAAATGGCTAGGGTGAAGAGAATTCTGGGGCTTGACATTTTTTTCGGCTTCAGAATCATGTCTGATCCGAGAAACCACAGCAATAACTTAATTTATTTCGACACTCCGGATCACTCTAATCCTTTTCCTAGGTATATATATTTTTATTTAAAATTTTTAAATTATTACATTTAAATTCTCGTTCTGTGTGTATGTGGTAATGCTAATTGGTGCATTTATATACTAATTTTAATAATACTATTTAATATTTAATTTTAGTTTTAATTTTAAACTTTTATTTGTATTTTTTTAAAAAGTACGTAATTATTTATATATAGTTTTTTTTTCGATTGCGAAAACTGGAAGATAATGAATTTTTATTCAGCGATAACGAGAATGCCGAATTCGTTTACATGACGGATGTTATCAAGCAAGTTATCAGTAATGGCACTGTTAACGCTTGCACTTCGAAAGATGAATTAAATATGTCAGTGGAAAAATTACAGGAATTTGTCGGAACGCTTTATAGAATTAGCAACTCGATTTATTACGTATGAATACATTTTTAATTAAATTATTTTTAAATTAATCTCTTTTTGTGAACAAAATTGTTGAATCAAAATTTAAGAGATGATTCGAAAGATGGTATTTATATTTAAGTATACTTTTTGATATGCAAATAATGTATTTTTTTAAATATACAACATTGACACCTTTTAAAAATAATGTTTTAAAAGATAACCATTTTGCGATAATAACATAATTCTTTTTAAAAAAGGGGTGAAAATAAAAGAAAAAAGATTCTTCTTTATTATACTATATTGTATTTGTAATAAATTTTATTATAAATATCTATTTTTGAAAAATATTATATATTGTATTCAATTAAGAGAAAATAACAGGTCACTTTTTTTGCAGATAGTTCATGCAAATTCAAATTACACCATTTCCGAAGAGAATTTGAGCGACAAAGATTACATGTTGGTGGACGATCTCCAAAAATTGACGGATGAATATATCATGGAGGTAAATTCATCTCTTGTACCTAAACCGATTTGGCGATCTTTTGTTGAGTCAATTTTCGAGGGAATCGTCACGTTGGACCTCGATAAAAAAGATAAAGTTCTTGTCGGCAATCTGGATTATTTGAAAGACGCAGCATTAATTCTCGCTGTTTTTGAGGAAGAAGATCTAGGTGTGTATTCTTTATGTGTGTATTTTTACCAATTATTTATTAATTTTAATTTAACTAATTAAATTTTAATTTTTGATCAATATTTGAGTTTGAGAAATCTAGTTTTTAAAAGAGATCTAATATTTAATTTTGAATTCAGAAAGTTACGTTTGGTGGGCCGTCGTAGATATCGTAGTGCCTCACTCTTCCGAGAAGCTTAGAGACATTTGGGTGACGTATGTAAATAAAGTAATGCAAGTGGAGGTTAGCGAATCCAAATCTTTGCACTGCGCGTCAACTGTCAATGGATTAATGGGTATGCGTAATAATATAATAATTTTACTTAAAAACTTTCTAATTAATTTTTTTATAGATAGTGTATTTGTAATATTTATATATGTATATCAAACATAATTTTTTTTCTAAGTTAGACTTAATAAATATATTAAAATTTTTGTAATGCATTTTGGATGCTTTTAAAGAATGATATTCATCGATTTGCAGGAATGGCGGTCTCGTGGTTGTTCGTAGATCCGACATTCCACAGTAATAATGCTCATAAAGTGATGGAGATGTTGGAGGACATAAGAAAAGCATTTGCTTCGCTTGTCATTAAAATGGACTGGATGGATAAATCGACGAAAATAGCAACGCTTGAAAAGAACCGAAAGATGAGTTCCGCAATCGGATTTCCCGAATGGCTCTTTGATGAAAAGAAGCTCGACGAATATTACGAAGGCGTAAGATTTGCAAAAGATTTATATAATAATTTAAATCTTGTTCTGCGTATAATAATACATATGAAAAAAGAGTGTGCATTTTTATTTTATTGTATAGCATATGGTCAATTAATATTTCTAAACTCTAAAAATTTAATAGTGTGCGATGTTTTGTTCTAACTTTTTAAATCTATTGATTATAATATTTGTAAAGAACAATATTGCGTAATATTGATGTGTTAATGTTTAGATAGATTTGTCCAAGACGAAGTATCTGGATAACATGATACAGATCATTCGATTACAATGGAACACTACGTGGGCGAGCTTGCATCATTATAATTTGAACAACGAATCATAGTAAGTAAAAGTTTAGCAAATTGTTCAGGTAGAAAGAAGTATCAGCGGTAAAGTTCTATTTCTTTGCACGCTTCGCTTTGGATGATCAGCTGGGCGACCGATCCTACTGATGTAAATGCGTACCATACCTTTCAAATTAATCATATAAGTATGCAATAACTTAATCCTCGTAGGAAAGAAATTAATTAGAAAAAATAAAATAAAGATTTTCAATACTTTGATCTTTTTTTGAAACAAATAATTGTTTTATTATTAAAAAAGAAGATACAAATATTTATTACGGCGTTAACAATATATTTAATTTAAAGACAGTTTTTTTATTGTTTTGTATTTATTTACTTATTTTGCATTTATTAATGTAAATCCTCTGTTCTTTCACATGCAGCTATACCTATCGGAATTCTGCAATTCCCATTCTATGAATTGGGTCTCGAGTAAGAATAGGAATAATTACTTTATAAGAGTATCTTTATAAAAATAGGAAGTATAAAGATTAAGGAGCATGGTTTCGTTAGGTGTTTATTAATCACACATTGCATAAGAAAGAAACCGGTAATTTTTTAAATAATTCAATCGCAGAGCTTTGAATTATGGCGCCATCGGTTCTGTACTTGGACATGAATTAACTCATGGATTCGACGATAGCGGCCGATATTACGACAGCGACGGAAATCTTCGGGAATGGTGGACCAACGAGACCATCTCGGAGTACACTACAAGGACCCAATGCTTCATAGATCACTACAATACTTATTACGAGAATGAGGCAAGTACATATTTTGATATGCTGGAAATATTGCTGACAAACAAGTAACATTTCTATAAATTGTTCAATAAGGAAAAATTATTCTATAAAATTTAATTATAAGAGAAATAAAAAAAGCAGTTTTTTAAAAATTATAATATTTATATATATATATTTTTCCAATATTTTTAAAATAAATTAAATTAATTCTTTAGAATTTAATTTAATTTAAATTTATAATTTGATTTAATTTAATTTTAATTTTTCTATTTTATATTCAGAAGAGAACTTTAAAACTTCTAGAATCATATTTTTAATATTAAGATTCATATGTATCCTTTTTCTCTACTATGAATTTTATTCTAGTTCTATATAAAGATTAATCTTTGATTCGTATTTGGAGAGTTGAATAAACCCGAGCATGTCAATAAATCAATAATACATCTTGCATAGATCGATGATTATATCGACGGTGAGCTGACCTTGGGCGAGAACATTGCTGATAATGGAGGTTTTCGCGAGGCTTTCGTAGCTTATGGAATATGGAAGGCCCGGCACGGTCAAGAGCCCTTACTTCCGGGATTTACACAGCTCACGCACGAGCAGTTATTGTTTCTCGCCTTTGCACATGTAAGCCAATAGTTCACATAAATAGCCCATTTCCAGCTACGATCTTAGAATTAAAACTCCAGACAGTTCTATGACACTTTCGATGGCTACAGTATTTAACGCACATTTTAATGATGAAGAGATACCATTCAATAGTAGAATTCTGGGACAACCTGAGAAATTTAGCTCGTCTAACTCATATTCAAATTACTAATCATAAATTTTTAAATCTTGATTCTTCGGTGATTTGGTAATCATCAGTTTGTAAGATACCGAAACTATATATTTAATACTTGCGTTACAGCGGGTGACCTTCGCTGAAAACGGCTCTCATTTAAATACCATCTCTCGATCATCCGTGATAAATTAAATGATATTTAAAGACGGCGAGATCACACACAAAATAACAATAAATCGCAATATTTAATTCAGTCACTGGCAATAAATTGTGACTGATATTTGATAATTTCGGCTCTCCTGAATCTCATTATCATGCCTAAAATTTACCTCATTAAGATTCCTCGTCTAATTATAACGTATAGTTTCCTCTATCGATATTATTCTTTTTCTCCTATAGAATTTTAAATTCTTCTTGTCATAAATAATTTTTCGAAGGCTACAGGAAATTATTTATTGATTTCAGTTGTGGTGCGAATCTTACTCTGCTGCATCACTAAAGTGGATGCTGGAGGACTCTCACAGCCCCGCCCACGTAAGGCTTCAAGCGGTATTGAAAAATTCTAAAGAATTTAGCGCTGCGTGGAAGTGTCCCGTAGGATCGAATATGAATCCGTCGAAGAAGTGTCATCTGTGGTAGCGACTACAGCTTTGACACACGGACAAAAGATAGCCTTGGTGCTTTGCTATTTGATTATCGTTGATCAATCAAATATTTATCATTCAAAAATACGAAGTAAAGCTCACGTGCGAAATACATGCGTCAGAAAGAGAAAAAAAAAAGAATGTGTATGGTCATTCTCGAAGTATTAATTTCAACAATCAATTTCAAATTTTAGCAATTAATTTAATCAAATTAAATAATAATATGCATATTTTTTATTTGAAATGATAATGATAGTTAATTCAATTCAGTATAAAATTTAACGCGAGATTAAAATCTAGAAATATAGATATTTTGTTAATATTTGACAATATTGTTAATACAATATTATATAACGTGCTTGTATCATTTTTATAGAGAATCATATGTATAATATAGACAATTAAGTAAGCAAAAAAGATATATTTAAAAATATACATTTTATTTCTCTCTCTTCTCTATGTGAATTTGAAGATTAATTTATATAATTACACAGGACAAATTATTTAATTAATATAATTTAATAGATATTGTCAATAAACTTGTGAAACTTAAAATAAATTATAACGCAATTTTTTTATAGTGTAGATAGGAATTTTGTGCGCTATTTAGATTAGCAATGAGAAAATTGATATTGAGATTTGCACGTGAGCTGCAATTGTTTTAATTATTGTTATCTTATTGTTGCATAAATTTTTGTAACAAATCGTTTTTGTGAAAATCTTCATATAATCTTATACAACGATATGTTGGAGATGCCTCATGTCATCAAATTAAAATAAGTGGTCCAATGTTTATAATAAAAGAGTTTTATTTACGTACAAAAGTGTTCTTTAACTTTATAATTCTTTTGACGATATCTGGCTAGCATCCTGTTTTAAACGTTTAAAAGATATCAATTAAATTTTGTTATTATTTAAATCGTATCGCACCTAAAATTACATTTATAAGCTATACATATTTTAAGTTATCGAATATCTTTTTGTCTTATGTTATGATATTTATTCGCATTTATTTCCGATGAAGACAGAAATATTAATTTAATCAAGAAGTTTATTTATTTTTATTAGCGTAAACAAAAAAGTTTGGAAGTATGATTCGAAATTATAGACAAATCAAAACGAAGTAAGTATAATTAAATAACACAATTAAATGTTAAAAGTTACATATTTTTTTAGAAGAATTATATAATAGAAAATTGACAGGTTTAATAAAATAGGAAATTTATATTTATTTACACATTAAGAAATTATTATTCAAATTTTATTTTACTCTTGGATGTGCATGCATTGTCTCCTAGTTCGCAAATGTTAATATAAATTTAAACTGGCTACTATTTGTCGAGACATAACTTAAAAATTTCTTTAAAAATTACCCAAAAGAAAAAGATACTTTCGAATTAATCGCAGATATTAAAAATATTTATCTCTTACATCTCTATACATTTAAGGATTAAATATCAATGAAAATGTTCAACTGTTGAAGGAAACGAACTCTTCAATCAATCCAACACTTTAGAAATAAATCCTGCGTCGAATAATTGGTTGGCATTTCCACTGAGAAATTCCAGTAGTCTATTCAATGTCCATTACAAGAGATGAACATTTTATTAATAATTATAACCGTTGATGTCGGTAGGCAGCACGTGTTCCTTGTGCTTGGTAGTGACGTGGGTGGCGGAGACGGAACAGCCGGCGCACGTGGTGGCGGGTTTAACCCCTGATTGTATGGTTTGGTGAAGCCTGGCGTGATGCGTGACGACCGGTTGTGCGATGGCAGTCTTTGTAACTGTGCTCTCGGTCTTCAGCACCGGATTTTCGATCGCAACCGAATCGGCGCTGCTCACGGCCGGTACATTAATGTTGCTGATCGTAGACGGGGCTGAGGTTCCCTGGGGCAATGACGGGAATGACGGCAGTGAAGGGAAAGACGGCAGCTCGAAATTCGGGAAAGCATTCTGGAAACTCTCCAACGGGTTCTGGAAGCTTGGCAAGTTGCCTACCACATTCTGGAATGTAGACTGGGCGTTCTCGAAGAAGCCCTCGATCGGATTGCTTGCTCTAGTGGCGTCCAGTGTGTTTATGTGCTGCTGCTGAACGACCGGAACGTTGGTTCTGATGTATTGAGGAACGGGGTATGGCACCGGACGGGGCACATCCACAGCATACGGACGGTTTACGGTCACCTGAACAGGCTGGGCTACGCGAACGTAGTAAGGCTTAGGAACTTCGACGGTGTGAGGAACGGGAACGGGGTATGTTACGTGTTTGGTTACTGGTACCGGATACGGTTGAGGCACTTGTACGTTGACGCGGTGATTCACAGTCTTCACAGGTATATTGTCGTACGAAGAGTACGAGGAGTACGAGGGGTACGAGGAGTACGAGGGGTACGAAGGGTACGAGGAGTAAAAGTTGTAGTTGGGAAAACTATCGATGGAGGAGGCGTAGGAAGGCAGGCTGCTTACGCTGTGTTGGACTCCTAAATAAAAAAAAATATACATTATTTTTCACAAAGTATTGTTTATGTAATGTAATTTTTATTATGAACGAAATGAGTTCAGTAATAATAAAAATGTAAAATAAAATATTACGGTAGATAAAGTTATTGAAAATTTATATTAGAATTCATAACTTTGGTATTTATCTGGTATTTCTGTGATAATAGCGAACAGTCTTTGATCGCAATATTATTTCGAGTTTACTTTTAATTTGTAATTTAAAAAAAAAAAAAAAATCAACTGCAAAGTTTTCTTTCTCAATCCTTTGAGAAACATTTAAAATTATAAAAAAACTTTAAAAAACGATAATTAAGAAGATAATTAATAAATTAATATAATTAATAATATAATATAACAATTAAATTAATTATCTCTTTTAAAATTTATATATAATATATTTCACAATCATTTACTGAGTTTCGATTATTTAATACTAAAAAGTTATGGTTTGTGATGGAAATAATGAAGAATTTTAAGAACAAGAAATATAAAAAGAAATATGTAGATTTTTGATGAAAAATGAAAGGAGATCAATGCCATGAAATTAGAGAAACTGTCTCTCTAATTGTATAACACTATTAATATTCAGGTCGAGCATACATTTGCATTTATCTTTGATGAAAGCAGAGCGAGTTATTCAAACCGACAAATAACCAGTGTTTTCGTATGTCGTCTCGACATTAGTCAAGCATTAGAGTATTTCTACGTGACTTCTATAAACGATCTCGACGCGAGAGAAAGATTCGACCGCCATGGTCTGTGGAAACGTTTAAAATCTTATGTAATCCTACGCGAACACGTGGCATTGCCAGAGACCGAGCTTAGATTTTTCGGCAGAAATCGTAAATTCTCGTCACCGTCATAAATTCTCGATAGGTCAATGCTCACCTTGAGTCTGGACGTGAGACGTTGTTGCCTTCACTTGTGGCACGGAGACGGTCTCCTTGTGTACTACTGCTGGTTGTACATGTTGAACTTCGTGGTGTACTTCAGGAAAAGTAGATTTCACGTGCAAAGTCTCGACTTGAGGCTGGTTCTGTACGTTAGTCTAGAGAAAATTTAAATTACATGAAATGTTAACAAATATGTGACAAAGATACACGTATAAACAATAGGTATATTCAACGTAAAATGTAAATTGTTACAGTATTAGAAAGCCTAATCCAAAATTAAAAATAATACTTTTTTTTAACATTAGAATAATTTGAATTGAGAGAATAAGATAGTAATAAATATTTGATAAGAAGATGTATATGATCATTTATATTATATAATTATATATGTATATAATTAATTATATAATTATTATTTAATTAATTATGGTACCTTCACCGCGGAAGTTTCATACGAAGTCTGTGGGAAGTGAACGTGTTCCTCGTGCTGAAAGCAAAAGAGTGTATAAACACAAGTATTAATTAATTAATTAATTAAATTCAATAATACTGTGAATTATTTATAGTTATTTCGTTTCTATTAATATAATGCTTCACGCTTTTTTATTTTTATTCTAACTACTATTATGTTATCTATCCGAACTATAACGCCGATTATAATCAGAATAATGCCTACCTGAGCGACATAAGACGTGATGGGCGCTTCGACAGATGGTGCTTGATAGTCGATGTTCAAGTTAGTCTATAATCAATATGCGGTAAGAAAGTATTTAAAAAATTCTGATTAAATTAAATATTAGTTATATTGTATTTTGTAATATTAATTAATTATCTTTTTAGACGCACATTCAATAGTTTTTAGTTTATTATCAATAATTTGTCTAAACTTTGAAACTCTTTATATGGTCTTGAAATGATATGTAATTGATTACATATTAACGAGTAACCCAAAAAGTAAAATGGATTGTGGGGACATATTGATCATTTTTGAAAGATATTAATTTGATGAGAAAAGGTGCGGAATTCTTTGCAAATTAATTTATGAACTTGTAGAAAGTAATGTTACGTGATTGCGAGGACATGATTGATGTACCTTAATAACTGCATTTGATTTGTCGTCAGCGGTGGGTTCTACGTAATTGTTAATCTGCAACGGAAAAGTGAAGTCTAATTAGTATGATATATATATATATATATATATATATATATATATATATATATATATATATATATATATATATATATATATATATATATATATATATATATATATATATATATATATATATATATATATATATATATATATATATATATATATATATATATATATATATATATATATATATATATATATATATATAT